GAAATAAAACAATATGCACTTTTTCTCTGTTTTATATCTATGAGATTAAGTTTGTGAGCTTTATTTCTAGCACACCATATTGTTATGATTTGTTTATTCTCATTGTGTCTAATATTCTATTTTAGGATATACCACAATGTATTTATCTACTCCACTTTTAATGGCCATTTAGTAATTTCTGAGTTTTAACCTTTTATGAAAAGCCCATTTGCTTTTGTACCGATATATATTTTTTAAAGAAAATGTACTGTGAATTGGGTGAAAGTTTCTTCCCAGCAGATTGTCAGTTTTACAATGAATAATTCACAGACCTTTTGTTTCAACTCATCCATTACCATCTCCTTAATGTAGCATCACTTTATCCCACTTCCTCGCTGTGTTTCCTGTTTGATGACTTGTGAGTACCTATCTGTACAGTATACGTTTAAGAATAGAACAGGGGGGGCTACTCGCTTCAGTAATATTTCTTAATGTTATACCCTCATCGCTGAATTTGTGCATTCTCCATCCTCTACCTGCCCACCAACATTATTTTTTGTGTTTAGTTTAGCCATGCTGGTGGGTATGTAAAATTTTTGCATTACTATTTCAGGATCATATAATTTGTCCTTACTCTTTCCGTTTGTATCCCCATTTTCATCATCACCACTGTTAGGCAATACGTAAGAATGAGGTCAAAGTGGTTACCTTGCAAGCCAGGACACATTGAAAAAATGGAAAAGGTTCATTTGACAAACAAATCAACCAGGAATTCCTCAGAACAAATAATTACATTTTAATTATTGGTCTGGGACATTATCCCTCAAGAATGTGAGAGTCAGGCTATGTCCTTAAAATGAGAAAACTCTTATGATTCACTATATATGCATGTATTTCCTTTTTAAGAAATCTGTAAGAGGTTTATAGCACTATCTCATTGGTGCATATTGTAAAAATAGGCTTATTTTATCTCACTGGAAGTTCTATTTTTGGACATGACTATAATATCTGTTTTGACCTTTCTAGGGACTCCTTTGCATGCCTATGTGAAGAGGAGAATGAGGCAGATTATTTCCATGCCTGACTTATAGCATTAAGGTATGTTTTGGCTTCATTCATAGGAGGCTACTTAGATGTAAAAAGAAAAAAAAAAAAGTAAAGGTAGTAACATAAAATTAGCCATTATTTAAGTAAAAGATTATTTGGAACTAGGCAGACTTGAACACAAATTATGACTCTGATAAGTCCTAGAACTTAGAGAAATATATATAGCCTCTCTAATCTTCAGCTTATTGTTTAAAATGGGTGAACATATATTTTGGGGTGGTGAAGATACATTTTGCTGTCTGTAGAGTCCACAGCAAAATATTTGAAATATAATAAGGAATTCTAATAGGTAGCAATGAATACCATTTTTATGTTTATGATTATTTGTTTTTTTTTCTATCGCGAGAAGTTTGTTGATAGAAAAGCCAGGTGATTAGTCTCTACTTATCATCAATAATTGTTAGTTTTTTAATGGTGCTTCCCAGGATGGGGTTCTTGTCTCAGGACATAACTTTCCAGGAGCTCTGGCTCTCATGTTCTCCTCCCTTTCTTCCCTGCTTAATGAAAATGACTTCCCAATCATGTATTGAAGAGGAATGTGTAGAAAATCTACCCCTGAGGGTACATCATCACCCATAAGCATTGTATGCGGTACCTTTATTTTCAACATTGCTAATTCCTTTCCCGGCCATGATTTTCATAACCTCCCAATCAATTCATTAGTAGCACAGTGTTGGGCTCCCTAAGATTCTTAGTTAATTAGGTGGTGAGTAGGACTATGGGGCTCTTTTTCTTCTTCTTCCTCAGGCTCCTTGATTGTAAAAATAACTGCTAAAGAGTAGGGTACACTCATTGGTGCTGATCAATGAAAAGAAATCAATGAAAAGAAATCAGAAAGTTGGCCATGCCAAATGTACACAGGAATTCTATGAGTTTGTGTAGGCTTTAAGTACTTCTATAATATGTATATGTCAAATATGACCAAAATGATTATGTCTTATAGTCGTTCTTCCACTGTTGGAAAACAAGTATATTTCTAGTGAGAGTCAAGTTGGTGGCAGCACATTGTCTTTAATTTAGTTCATACTGGAGATGTTCAATTTATGGGTTCAAGAGACAAAACTGTTGCAAAAGTTTCCCTTTTACTCCTTGCTTTACTAAGGAGACCCAATTCACTGTGTTGTAGTAGGAATGGAGTCTGGCTTTAATCCTGAAAAACTCCAATTGAATGGGCTCTAACTGGCTTT